GCTCCTACCCGGGGAATTTCATACCATCTGGGAACTGTGGGGAAGTCTGAAATGCTGCAGCATCTCTCTCCCAGTGACAGCACAGCAACCCACTGGTCTGGACTGGGGAACAGGAAACATGAACCCAGCTGTGCAGCACCCAGCAGTCTTTCAGAAGGTGCTCAGGAACAGACATGATGAGCAGAGGGACAATAGCAGGAAGGGCCAGGCTGAAGGCTCCTGTCTACACAGACCAGTTTCCCTTGTCCCTTCCAGGTGACCTGGGACAGGTCCATGTAGCAGAAGAGTCACAGAGGAGATCTGCTCTCCCCAGAGCAGCCGGGGACCCTGCATTGTGTCCTGCGTGTCCCACAGCCCCTCTGAGGGAGCTGCTCACCCATGAGAGCTGGCTCCACACCCACTCCCTATCACTGCCCCAACGTGCCACCACCTGTAGCAGCTGTGGGGCTGTGAATCTCAGCTCTCCAGAGTCCAGTAAATTAAACCTCAGTCCAAAAGGGGCTTGGGCTGTCTTTTGCAAACAGAGGCAGCACAAAAGCTGCCTTTCTCCCTCTCATCTGACTTTGTTTTCTCTCTCTCCCCATCTGCTTTTAGCCAAATGGTTGAATAGCTTCAGTATATACTGTGGGAGGCTAAAGCCAAAGGCTGGAGCACGGGGAAGGATGCAAAACAGCAGTGCCCTGTGGCCGCTGCCTTCCGGAGGGGCTGGGAACTGTTTGCTACCCTCGCTCTGTAACCCAGCCTTGATCACCTTACTGAACCCTTGGAGAAAGCAGCTCCAAAAGAAAATATTTGTGCTCTGGCAAGCACACGTGTGCACATTTCCTGCTCTTGAAGTCCTTAATTAAGCCTGTTTTTTGTTTGGTTGGTTTGGTGGTGTTTTTTTTCTATTTATGCTGCCACAGTCTTGGAGGGGGAGTGTGTCAGAAGCCCATGTGTTTTGCTGTTTTGGAGGGGAGTGTGTCAGGTCCGTGTGTTTTGCTGTTTTGGAAACTGCAGTGTGGAAAGCTGCCTGTGGTGGTCACACAGGAAGTCTGCATGTATTCACAGGGGAGTGGGAACCAGCCAGGGCCTTTGGCATTGCTCTGTTTGTCACAGTACAGCATTGGGACAGCTCTGCACATCACCCAGCACAGAGTGGCCTCAGCTCAGCTGTGGCCTCAGGACAAGGCAGACCGGGCTTTGCAGACCTTACTGAAAAGATTCAAGAGCAGCACATTTAGTTCAGAGCACATTCACTTCAGGTGATGCTCATGGCTACAAACCCCCAGCCCAGTGCAAACTCCAGGTTCAGCTGCACAGCTTTAGCTCAAAGAGCAGCTGGTCAGGCCAGTGTTGCTAATGTTGACCCCAGAAGCATGGGGGTATAATCCTGCCTGCAAGTCAAACATCAGTCATGGTGCTCATCCAGGTCCCAGCTCTGCCACTGCCGTGCCTGGGCTGGGAACAGGCAGGTGAGAGACGGTGGAAGCCCGAGGTGGATTTTCTTACAGCAAACATTTAAAAGCACAGTAAGACTAGAAAATCCCCATCCTTTGGTAATGAATCCTCCGTGTAACAGTTTTAACACCCAGACACAACACGCCTGTGGAATTCCTGAGATTGTTGCAAACTGAACCCTTCTTTGCCACCCTAAAATTTCTCAGCAATTTAACTCTACAAGCCATCAGGGATCACCATTTGCAGGCACTGAGGGGGATCTCCAGTCCCTTCTCTGCTTTCTGCAGCCTGCGGTGCTATTTTGGAAATTCTCTCATTTACTGGGTGGTTCGACTGAGTACAACTGCTCCTTTGGCTAAAACCATCCCCCGCCCGTCATCACGTAATTAGAAAGCACCAAAAAGCCAGCGGTGCTTAAGACAGCCCTGGGATAACCACGGCAGCTTTTTCTTTTGTGGATAAAGGACTGGGCTTTGGAGGCTGTAGACTTTTCCACTGAAATCAGATTTTGGTTTGAAAAGTGGGGTAAGGTAACACTGGGTGAAAAAATGACACCCAGAAGCACAAGAAGGGCAATACTGCAAACACAGCGAGGTGGGTGAGAAAAGCAAACATCTGCTGTAAACACTACGGGGCAGAGGGGGAGGGGGGGGTGGGAATGCAAAGATAATTTTGAGGCAGAGGAAACAAAAGAACTTTCAAAGCCCACCCCTCTGGGTTTGTCCAGATCTTACTGGTGCTGCAGCTACAGGCAGTTCATGGATTCTCACAGTTGAGCTGGAGCTGGACTGAAACCTTGTGAAGAAACCAGAAGTGAAGAAAAAAAATGGAAAAAAACCCAAAAAAGAAGTGAAGAAACCAGAAGTCTCCCTGCTGCTGGGAGGACATATTCATGCATGGCAATGCACCACAGACCTCATCAGCTGCTCATCCCACTGACACATCCCTCTTCCAGCAGGTCACTGGATTGTCCTGCAGAGCCAAGGTGTCTGTGGTACAGGAAAGCTCATTTTCCAAGTGCCACCCTTTCCTGTTTGCATTGCAAACTGAGCATTTCCTTGTCTGAAAACAGCCTCACAGCCTCAGTGTCTGGTATATTGTTTCCTGTGGAAAATATTGTGACATTATCTTTGTGGGCTTGTTGGGGTCTCTTCCCATGACATGCAGCCAACTTCAGGCCAACCTGATCAACGAAGATTTTGAAGATCTTGAAGTTGGGCAGTGGTGGAACAAAGAGACTCTGCTTAGGTACTGACTTCTCATACCCTTTTAGTCTATGAAGTTGTTTTTTCTCTAAGAGCTTCTCCATAAGCCAGCCACCCCACAAGGTCTGCTGCTCCATTCAGACTCAACCATCCTTCCCCAACTCCCCTATCCCAGCTGTAGTCAGCCCAAGCACAGCCCACACCCCAAAGCAAGAACTGTCTCAGGGTGTCATTACTCAGCTCTGGCTGCATGCTCGTGGGAGAAGTGGCCTTTTGGGAGGATCCTGTGCTCCTGCAGAGCCACTGCTCCAGGAGTGCTGCTGCAGAGCCTCCTGCACTCACTCTCCTGGAGGCAGGACCAGGTCATCTTCCCCAAACACCTTATCTTATCCAGAGGAAAAGGAAACAAGCAGAAAAAGTGTTCTGCAGATTGCCTGCTCTGTTTGCAATGCCCTGGTCCCCTGATAAGCCTGCAAGGTTGATGGGGGAGCACACAGGATGCTGTCCTGCTGGGGTCTTGGTGGAGAAAACAAGGAGCAGCTTGGGAGTCATCCTCCAGCCCTGTTCTAACAGGAGTTGTTCTGGTTCTTTGGTACTTTCACTGAACATGCCCAGAGTGCTGGGGTTAGTGACCATCACAGTGCTTCTCTGGAGGCTGGAGAAGAACCCCTAGCAGCTCCCTTCCCTTCTCCACAGGGCCAGGGGAAAGGAAGGGGGATGCAATGAGACTAGGCCCACCGAAGGAAGGATGAGGCAGAGCTCAGGGGAACCCTTGGTGCCTTCCCAGCGGTTTGTTCCCATCAGCATCCTCAGGGTGTGGCACCACAGAGAGGTGGCCTATGCAGACTTGTCACTCCTGATCCCTCTGCTCTGGAACAGGGAGTGAGGAGAAGGACATCAAATGCCATGAGCCATCAGGTATGAAAGCCTGCAAACCCTGCACACACACTTCAGGTATCTGCATGAACCTCCTGGATGGCTGTGGGTAGGAACCTTTCCTTGTCTGGCTCAGAGATAAGCAAGCTTTAACCAAAACAGAGCAGGGAGAGGGGAGCAGAGCAGCGAGGGGAGTGTGGGTAGCATGGGCTGCAGCCCAGACATCAAGGAGGAGCAGCCTGGTTTACAGCAAGACAGACTGGAGTTATCCTCTGTGGGCACTGCCAGTCTGGCAGACAGCAAGGGCCACAAGGACTACTGGCTCCAAGGCCAGCCATGCCACCACGTGCCATCCAGCTCCATGCCAAAGCAACAGCCATGCCTGGGAGGAAGCTGAAAGCAATAAATGATAACCAAGACTGGTAAACATCAGCTCAGAGCAGCAAGGGTGGGCTAGGGAAAGGGGTTCACTCGCTCCCTGGGACCCTGGACGGGTCCTGCTGGGCATCTGAGTGCACAGGCACAAAGCAGAAATAGGTTGTGGTTCTGGGCCTTGGCTCTGGAAATTTCTTGCCACTGGGAGATTTTAATGCAAGAAAATAATGCAGTGATGTTACACTGTAGCCTTTAGCTTCCCTTAAATTAAAAAGTAATAAAAAGTGTCTGCAACACATTCCTTGATGTGTCTCTCTCCAGCCCCCTGCAAGTGCATCTACACCAATTAATCATGCTCTAGATCAAAGGTAAGGGGGACTTTGAAGCAGTACACCACTCTAGGAAAGAATAAATTGCAACTATGTCAAAAGTAACCTTAATGTACAAGTGTGAAAAATCTCTAAATATAAACTTCTTCTCCAAACTTTGGTTGGTTTTCCTTTCTGTAGAACAAGTCCCATATGACAGGTAGGCATGGGAGACATCTCCCAGGTGAAACGAGAGACAGCAGACTGGGACAGGCATGTAATCCTGTCACTGGGCTGAAAACCTGAATTAAAAGGAAGCAACAGTACAGCACAGAACACTGGTCACTGGGCCAGGAAATAAGGGACCTTGGAGATTCCCACACCCTTCTCCTTCCTCCATCCCTTCTGTATTTCCCATCAGCTCAGGCACTCTTCTGCACACTTTGTGCCTCATGGCCCCATTGAGCTCAAAAGGCCACGTGGTTATCCTTGATTTACAGCGGCTACCAGAGTCCCTTCTTCTCAGAACTTGCATCCCAAACAGAAAGTTTGTCTGTTCTGTGAGGAAAAAACAGCTGCCAAGACACAGATCCTCAGCATCTAAGTGACATTCAAACACAGTTCTCCTGAGACATGTCTCTCAGGCAGAGGTTGCAGTCAGCTTCTAAGGATAGGTGCAATTTCCTGGGAGACCTGTCTTGCATGTAATGGGTAGTTTCCCATCCCTAAAAGCCACCTCTTTTACAGAAAACCATTCAAAGCAGTACAAAGACACACAGGACACACAGACATGCACTGAAAGTTAAAAGCAGCGCCTCGATTTACTGTGGGACTAGAAACAAAACATAACCTCCTCCTCTGGATTTCTAAAGCCCAAGATGCAGCTGTCTCCTCCTGCCAGCCTTCTGCTTTATGACATCTGGCACAGGTCAAATGACACAGCAAGCTGGGAGACATGCAAACAGTTAAGCCATCTTTTTGCTGAAGCCATGTTTGAGTTCCTGCAAAATAAATAAATACACAAATAAATAAATAAATAAATGGGAAAAATACCAAGGCCCAGAGGAGACAACCTTATACAGAGACGCCCTCTGCCGGTCACAAGCCAAGAGAAATTCATCCACCAGAGATCTACGCCAAGGATTTGCAACTTCCCTCCCTCCTTTTATAGATTAGCCCCTAAAAATATTCTCTATGGAGGGAAATGTGGTGTGTAAAATTTAAAGTACTGGTTTTTTCCCCTGACTGCTGAAGTGATTTAGCAGCAAACTACTTGCAAGGGCTGTTCAGCCACCCCTCTCCTTTGTTTTGGATCTTACAATCCTTGGGTAAGTCAAAGAGCTTCTAAGTCAGTTAAAATGCAACAGGAAAACAAAAGTTCTGCCAGGCTGGTCAGCCAAACCGACTCCCTGGCTGCCTTGATGTAATGTAAGGAAAATGGTGAGAAAACTGGGCCAGGAAAAGGGACACATTCACATTTTTTGAGACTGGCTTTCCTGTAATAGTTAAATTCTTCAGGCACTTGAGACATAATCCACAAGTCCCTGCAAGTTAAAAAACCCCTTGCAGTCAATACCACAAGCCGAAAACTATTTGAGGCACTAATCAATTCAGAGCATGTTTCTCTCTAAGTGGAGATGTTATTTGATTAGAGCTATGATTTTAAACAATTTCTATGAAGCACTGAGAGCCTACTCAAATGAAACAAACTGCAGATTTTACATCTGTCAAGTCACTCTATTAAAACAATGCAGATCTATTGCACACACATCACTACCAGCTCAACTCTTTCTTTTATCAGTTTAATTCCTGCTGGTGTAAATCCCTGATTTAATTTACTGACTGGGAATTAAATCAGCATGAACTGGTTTCAGCGCATCTGTGCTGGGTATTTGTGATGATCCAACCAGACTATTTAAAAAATGTCATTGGATCAGAAAGCTCCACTGACAGAAACAAGCTCTTAAGAGATGCAATTTAATAACCTTGCACACTAAAGAACAGCACATGCAGTGAGTGGGCAGCCCCCCTCCTCCCACTTTATTCTCTTTCACTGAAATTAAACCTCGTCTGCAAAAATATTTTACAGTCAGGAGAGTTTTGTACACATCCTCATAGCACTGGAACTCTGGGAAAACCGACAGGCTGCAACAATCAGGTTGTCACTGGGACAGATGTCCAGTTGGCCAGGGGCTTTGTGCACTGGGAGCTATTCAAACCCCAACATTTTACATCCATGAGGGTGCCAGGGTGCTGCTGTTTTTCCATCCCTGAGTTTAGTGGAGGATTAACAGCGTTATCAGGAGAATCAGCTGTTGGAGGTCCTTGTGCTAAGCACCAACCCACCACACCACATACCCACAGGGCTCTTTGTGTCCCATCACTCTCCCTGCTATTGTTGGGGCCCACCACTCTCTCTGGTCAGCTGTTGAACATCTTTGGGATTTGTTTTCATGCATGATATGCTCTGGCAAACTCCAGGTTCACCTGGAGATGGCAGAGAGGCTGCATTCTACCTCTCCACTACAGATGGGCTTTGCAGCGTAGCTAAGGGGGTTCCACACAGAAATGGTGCTGGCTGTGTGTGGTCCAGCTGCTTCTCTGGTATGAGGGGTTTGCTGAAGCTGGATCTGCAGGTCTTTTTTCATTTGTGTTTCCCAGGAAGAAGCCTGTTTAACTGGGAGAGCTGGAAAAAGCTCAGCTCTCTCTCTTCCACATTGAATACACCTGGTATATGCCTAACCTCCTCACACCAGGCAAGGCTACTGTGCAGACTTCTCCCCGAGGTAGGAAGTGTTCTTTCCAGTCTTCTTCAGGGTTTCCAACAGGGTGTCAACGTTGTGCTCCGAGTCGATGAACACCTTCTTGTTGGGCAGGTCAATATCAAACTGGACACCTATGAGGAAAGAAAGTTTTGCACAGCTAGAAGCAGCCAAATGGTGTGAACACAGGGAAAGCTCAGCTTCCTATCTGTGCTCCCCAGGCCATCAGTCAAATGGACATTTATCTCCTGCCAGCAAACCCTGATACCACCACCAGACAGCAAAATGAAAATGGTGTCCTGCCAGCAACGGTACAAAGGGAGCCAGATCTGCTATAACTCTGCACTGAGCACCACGGCTTCTCAACTGCTTTAATCTGCTCACCCCACCTTGGACCAACACAAGCACTCATGCAGTAACCAGAATAAAACTGAGTTTAAAACAACAATCTCCACCCAGCTCAGCCTGTGCTGTGGTTTAGCATGGACATGGTTAAGACAGGGTCAGGACAGGTTTCCTCAGTGGTGGGGGTTCCTAACAGCTCTAAGTAGAAGGAAGGAAAAGGCATTTTCCCACGTGGATTTCCCAGTGGCTAATAAGGGTGAGCCTTCTCAGCCCATTGAAAACAAATGGACAGGAAGTCTCTATCTAGTCACTTATTTTCACAAAACTTGTCGGTATGTATCAGCTTTGAGAGCTCTGCCACTACATCACATGAGGCTGATATTGCCCAGCATGTTGAAGAGTGATGGAGGTGGTGACAACCACACATGGACAAGGTGAGATTGCCACAGGCTGGTAATGGGGTCTGGAAGAACTTGCAAGACCTTTGCCTTGGTGACTGAAAGCTGTTCTCCCTTGGAGGGGAGCAAGTCCTCACAAACAGTGAGTGCAGCCTAAATCTTTCTCTCTTGGAAATGCCAGCATACAGGAGACATGGGTTATAATTTTCCAGGTGGTATTAAAAACAGGCTATACAGACAACCACCAAACACTCTGCTCAGCAGCTCTTCACTGTGACTTGCTGATGATACATCTAGGGAAGCATCACAGATACCCCAGGCCTCCTTGGAAACAATGCCAGGCACCTCCCTTCCTTCTGGCAGCCTGAGCAGGGGTCTACCAGTGTCCTTCCCAGAGGGTTCAGGGTAAGGCCCCGGTGATTCAGAGCCACCTGCAGCCACGACAGCTCCTCCCTCCCTTGACATTTCTCCAAGGGTCACACAGACCTGCAACCAACCAGTGACTAGTTACTGACTAAGGAGCAGGCCCAGAGCAGAGCGGGCAGAAGTTTCCAACTTCCAGCTTTTACCCATGGCATTCCTCTTCAAGACGGAGGATCCCAGGGCACTGCCATCCTGCTCTGGAGCTGGTGTTGCTCTAGAGAGCTGGCTGTCCCACACCACACCCAGCACTGACTCACCTCCCAGCCTGTCCAGGACACGGGTGACCGCCTTGGAGCAGCCTTCGCAGGTCATGTCCACAAAGAACTCGTGTTTCTGAAAAGAGGCAGACGAGGGGTCAGGGAGGGCACAGCTGGCAACACACCATGAACACTCTCGTCCTCCACACTTGCCTTTTCCCTTGAGGAGGTGGGTTCAAAGCCTCCCCAGCCAAAAGGTCCACACATGCCACTAAGGGATCCACAGGGAACAGAGAGCTCTTGATACTCCTCCTTAGGGTGTCCTTGCGCTGTCCCTCACAGCATAATCCTGAGGGAACTTTGGAGACTGTCTGGCTGGCTACCTCCAGGGTCAGCACAGGTTGCCATCTCTGTGGCCTCTGCTGGATTCACTCCACTTGCCCAGGGGAGCCCAGGAGAAGCAAATCTCCTGCCTCCAACTACTCACTGTCCTTAGTCTGCGAGGTTTGCATTGCTTCCTCACCCTTATTCTTCTTGTGTCTACAAGGCCTCTGCTCCCCAGCATAATAAAAATATAAACAAAATAGAAATTTAAGGAGCATTAGTGATGTTTTTTCATCCTTCCACTCCACTGGGGCCCCAGTCATAACTTCGCTACCTGTGAGAGACACTGGGTCAACACAAACGTGCTTGGCTGTAACTAATCATTTGCCTTCAACCTTTGGCACCAGACGGGTCCTAATTTCCTTCTCTCGCACGTGCTTTTTGCTTTCCTTAAAAAAGAAAAGCAACACCGTTTTTCAGTTGTTACCTGCCACCTATATTTCATTTAGTACCTACAATTCACATATCATTTGTTACCTACAACCCATATTTCCACCTATTCATAACCACGTGTTTCCCCCCCCCCCGCCCCTGTAGGGCTAAAACCCTCTTAGGATCATCCACCGCGGAGGCAGCTCGGGACAGCAGATCCCACTGGGATTTTTTTTTTTCAGTGTCGTTGCCATTTTCTTCATTTTTTATTCCCCAAGAAGGCCCTGCGCGCTCTGGGGTGGTGCATGGGGCGGGGGAGGTGGGCAGGAGGGTCCCACCGCCGCTCCCCCTCTGGGGGCTGCGGGAGTTTCGGGGACTGGGGGAGCCCGGGGGGCTGCGGGACTCCCGCGGCTGTCCCGGCACCGGGCAGCGTCCTCCTTGTCCCGCCGCCCCGCCACGTCCCCGGTCCCCATAGAGCCTCCCCGGCCCCCCATGTCCCTGCCGGCCCCCGGAGCCCCCCGCCCGCGGCCCCGGCCCGCACCCACCGGCATGGCGGAGATCCCGGATCCCGGATCCCGGCGGCGGCCGCGACGCGGAGGAAGGGGCGGTCCGTGCCCGCTCCGGGGCTGAGGCCATCGGGAGGCGCGAGGAGCCAGGAGAGGGTTAAGGAGAAAGCTGTGGGGGGGTTTGGGTCATAGCCGATCCATGTGCACCCCGCTATGGTGCTCTGCCCGCTCCCAGGCGAAGCATCAGCGCAGGGACAGAGGGAGGTGGGAAGAGCCATGAGGTGGGGCCGGGCTGCTTCAGAAAGCTCCTTCCTCCCTTGACTTTGAAGGTGTGGGGGCTTAATTGGCTTAGGAGAGTTCTGGTAGACTGGATATTAAACGAGGGAGGTTTGGGGGGAGTCTCTAACTTCAGAGTAGGTTGAGAGGCAGGATGCTGGTCCCTGAAGGTGTGCCTGCTTTGGGGTGCTTTGCTGCTTTGTTTTTTTTGTTTGTTTGGTTGGTTTGGGGGGTTTTTTTGTTTGTTTGTTTTTGTTGTTGCTTGTTTATGTTTTGTTGTTGTTTTGGGTTTTGTTGTGGTTTTGTTTTTTGTTTTGTTTTCGTTTTGTTGTTGGTTTTAGTTTTGTTTGGTTTTTTTTTTTTTTTTTTTTGTTCGGTTGGGGTTTTTTTGTTTGCATTAGGTTGGGTTTTTTTAATTCCCTGGCTGTATAGCCTCTTGAAAGAAAATGAGCCCTTCTCTGAAAAACTTGAGTCCCGGGTGGAGGAGGTTGTGGCAGGGGCTGGGAGCAGCTCAGGTGCTCTGGCAGGGAACCTGGAGAGGGGACAGCAGTACAGTCAGGGCTGGGAAGAGCTGTGTGTGTGATACTTCCTGACCACGTGCTGGGCTTCAGTATCTTCCTGTTCAGAACCCCAACCTGCAGCAGGAAAAATAGCCAGGGTGTTTCTGGTTGCTACCACACCAGCTGGGGGTGAGGGCATCTGTTTTGAGGTGCAAAGGATGCTGCTGCTGTAGTGATGTTTTTATAAAAGAGGAATTACCTGCCCCGCTATTGCTTTGTGGAGAGATGTCCAGGATCCCCTTTGCAGAGTTTATTTTGGATGGGCTTTCATGCTGGGTCACTGGGCTTATGTTAAACTTTGTAAGTCTGCAGTACTGATTTATGAACTGTCAGATTGCAGCGTGGCTCAGGCTATAAATAGCCGGGGGTGTGGGGGGAAGGATATTAATGCTGAGTGTGGCCCTATGCCAATCCACTGTCTGTATCTTTAGCTGCAAGGCATAGCAGGGAAGGGGTTAGGCAGCGTTCAGGGATGTGGTGGTGGGGAGGAAGTCATTTTTACAGGGTGAAATCCATCTCTGACTGCTCCGTGTCATAGATACATGCGGGATGAGCGTTACACAAACAAATGGAAAGCTATGGCTGCCTGGCCCAAAACGGCTGCTCCCGCTCCCTCCTGGCTCTCCTGGGGCTCCCTGCACCAGCACCTGCTGGGGAGGAAGGATCTGAGAACTTCCAGGCCTTTCTCCTCCTTTGCAGGACTTGGCCCTCAAGGTGTGTTAGAGAATGCCCCTGCGGAGCTGCCGGGGCCGTGTCTGGCAGAGGTGCCTTGGTGTGAGAAGTTCCCTTCACCCACCCCCACTGGGGATTTCCTTCACGTGTGTGGAGCCAGGTGAGCACCGGCGAGCCTGTGACAGCCCAAGGAGACGCAGCCACAGGCGAGAGGCCGCTGGCTGTTCGCTGTTAGGGGTCCGCAGCCCTCCCAGCACTGGGTGACCCCGACCCTCAGCACATGGCTCCCCCCGCCGCCATGTTGGGCGCCGTCCCCCTCCCTCCAGCAGGGGGCGGTGCGGAGCCCCGCGTGGTGGCCGCTGCCCCTTTAAGGCGGCTGGCGGGGGCCTGTCAATCAGCGCCCACCGCGCCCTCTAATTGGTCCCTGCGCCCCGCGGGGCCCGCCCCCGCCCATAACGGGGTTTACCAGCGGCTTCTCAAGGGCGCTGCACTGCGGCTCAACCACACTGCGGCGCCTGGGGGCGCCCGGAGCGTCGTTCTATTGGCTGAAGGGGAAATCAATCAGATTTCCGCCGCCGCCCATTGGCTCGGCTGGCTGTCAGTCACTCCTACCGCCCCGCCCAGCTCCGCCGCGTGGTTGGCTGGCTGCGCTGCCTCTCAGCGCTCCGCCCGCCTCTTTCCCGCCGCGGGCCAACCGGCATCCGAGTGAGGGAGGCCGCCGCGCTGCGATTGGCCGGGGCGCTCCCGCCGGGATAGGCTGCGCGCCGGATATATGTAGCCGGCGGCAGAGCACGCCGCTGCGTGAGGCGCTTCTCGTCCGCCGGGCCGGCCTGTGGTGAAGCGGCGCCTCCCGCTCCCGTCCCGCTCCGCCCGCAGGTGAGGGGGGCGGGAGGTCGATATGGGGGGTCACCGGCGCGGCCGCGCCTTCCCGTGGGGGCCGCGGGCCGCACGCCCTGGGCGGAGGCGCCCCCCGCCCCTGTAGGCCGCGGGCCGGCGCTGCTGGCGCGCCAACACCCCCCCCCCCCCCGCCCTCCCACCCGGTCCCCGCCGCGCTTTGTGCCGAGCGCTCTCCCCGTCCCGGGCCGCGGCCCCCGCGGGGCTCCGGAGCCGTCCCGGTGCCGCGGGACTCCCGGCGGGAGCGGTGCGATGGTGCGGGGCTGGGGGGGGCGGAGGGAGGTCGGCTCTCGCGGGCCCGCATTGTGCGCGGCGGGCTGTGCGGGGCCAGCTTTGTTCTCGGATGTGCGGGCGCGGGGGCGCCTCGCCCTCCGCCTTTGGGTTTTCTTTTGGGTTTTCCTTCGCAGAGGTGGGGTCGGGGAGGGGCCCACCCAGGGCCGGCCGAGGGGTTCCCGTTCCATGTGGGGATCGATGGGCAGCGCTGGGCGCTCGCACGGCCCCGGCTCTGTTTGTCAGCTCGGGGGGTCTCCCTTGCTGGAACTTTGTAGGTGAAGGGAGTCAATAAATCGACCCAGGAGAGCGTGTGTTTTAACCTGAATTACCGCATGACCTTGGCTGAATCCGAGCTTAAGCCAAGATTTAAATGCGAAGTAGTTCTTGTATGAACATTCTCCCAGCCTCTTGTAAGGCCCCAGATACACTTGCTGGAGAAAAACCAGAGAAAAGGCTTCAGTATACTTTCCAGTACCTCTTAGTGTTGATTTGGATGATCCGATGTGTTCCACTTTCTCCACGAGCTTACCTGGTGGTCTTTTATATTAAGGCTTGCACGCACATAATAAGTTTTCTTTACAAAGAAAACGGGTTTTTTCCCCTACAATCGGGTGAAAGCAGCATTTGCAGAGAGCCGCCATGTTTCCAGTGTGTGCTATTTTTGGCGAGCCCGTGCTCTCACAGCCAGGAGTGACAGCTTTAGGAAATGTGGACACTGCTACCAAGCTTTGGAAGCTGATGCTTCCAGGTGCCATAAATCAAACGTGGGGAGTGCGTGTGTGCTGGATTGTTCTTAGCCAAGAAGACTTTTTAGATTGATGTCATAAAGGGAAGTGCAGAAGTTAGACGAAAACTGCATCTCACCTTTTCTGAAGTCTTCCCTTTGACTAAATTTTCACTTTTCTTATTCACTCTCTGTAAAGAATAAGCCAAATGATTTTGCTAGAGCTCTGTGATACTTCAGTGATGCTGGCTGGTGGCATATTCTCAGCCTGTGAATCGAACTCACCTTTTTTGAGATGTTTCAGTCAGTATATGTAATGTTGTAAAGCTGTGAGTCTAGTTTTAAAAGAAAAAAGATTAGTGGATGGCATATATAGCTAAATTGAAGGCTGGCTGTACATATTCACATGCATAGGATCTTAAATCCTTGTCTTTATGATGGAGATCTCACGACCTTTTTGATAGCATCACCACGTGTTCCAGGGACTAGTTTGCCTGAAAGGCAGCGTTAAAACCTGCTAGAAAATGTAACTGTATAAAGTCTGTTAGAAAAATAATTAAAGCAACTTTGGAACCTTCGCAAATGCGTATCTTATTTTTATACATTAAATACAGTAAATATTTTTTAAAATCTTAAAAAATCTTGTATGCATTAGATGGTAAACAGTGGCCTCCAGTTCTTGACTGGTGGTAATTGGGCAACTGCCTTTTTTGGTAGGTTTTGTTCTTTTAAGCGTGAACTCCTTAAATTGAAGACTCTGATAATTGAAATCAAAGTTGTAGACCTGGTGGACAAGACTTTGTCTATGTGGATCAAGTGCACACATCAGGATCTTCTGTAGAGATCCTTTGCATTTGCAGTCTAAGAAACAACAAAATGTACAAGAATACTTGTGTATATTGTGATTGCAGGACCACTGCTCTGCTGCTCACTTTGCTGCTGGCACAGTGGCACTGGTGGAGTTCAACATAACTGATGAAGTTTGAACATCTTAGTTATAAACAGAATCTTTGCCACTGTGCCAGCAGCAAAGTGAGCAGCAGAGCAGTGGTCCTGCAATCACAATACACACAACTGATGAATTTTGAATGTCTTAGTTATAAACAGAATCTTTGTGCACCCCATGAAACGGCAAACTCTTTAGTTAGAACATTAGTGCTTTATTTTTCACCTTGCAGTTGTAAGGCAGACATACCAACCAACACTTTTTATGAAGTAAAATAAAGTGAAGGTGGTGTTTCTGTAAGTACGTGTTGATATTTCTGTTCATAACAACAGTAGCTGATGAGAGAGCACTCATAAGATGAGCATAAATGGCCTGTGTGAGTTAGAAAACATTTGAGTTGATTATTCTAATTTTTAATATTAGCAGCTGGGCTTTCCTTGTTGTCTGACTGAGGAAGGTGATGAATAAAGAACCAAAGAGGAAATCAAAGTGGAGCAGGACTTTAGCAGGGTGGTGCTTGTTGCTGTGCTGGCCGTAGTCTGCTTAGAACAAACCAAAAGTAAAAGTGATAATTTGGTCTAGGAGACTGGATGCTTTTTTACAGGTAGTCATATAAAATCTGCAGAGTTGAAGTAATTATTAACTTCTTGGTGTAACTGCTGATAGACTTGATAATCTGAAACTATCTCATTGAGTAATTAGAGAAAAACCTTAAAAATTCTGATCTTTAGGTAAGATTCTGTAAAAGAATCCTTAAGACTTTGCAGGCAGTGAATGTTACGCTGGCCTGAGGTCCTAGTTTTGCTGTATGAAGTCTGGGCCTCTTCCAGGAAGACATGGCTGTTGGAGTGCTGCTTTCAGAGCAGGAGCTGGGAGCTGTCAGTCATGTACGAATAATCTGTGATGAACCTGACTCCTTGCTGAGGCAAACGTGCAGTGCTGCCTTCTAAAATGCTGGTGGCTGTCTTCCATTTTCCTGTGCTCTGCCTTGTACTGTTTTTTCTCGTTTCAGGACTGCTCTAGGACTGACTTTGTTTTGTTTTCAATGTAACAGTGCCATGATGGATCAGTCCTGAGTGCTAGGATACAGTTGATCTATGAAGTTAAACTCCTCTGTGACTTAAGTGGGTAGAGGTGAAAGAGTTGACTCTCTTTACAGTTATCTGTTGGTTGGCATGCAGAAAATATTTTGTTAAATCTTAATCCTGGTGGTTTTAATCCAAGTGGGAGTGAGCTTGAATTTCACTGTAATGAAATTACTGTGTAGCTCGGTGTTCTGATCTGCCTCTTCCGACTGCTGATGAGTAACTTTTGCTTTTTTACTTTAAGAAGCTGCAGTGGAGCCAAATGGAAAATTTGCAGACCTAAGAGAAGACGACTGGACCTGCTGCCAACTTCATCGAGATGTTGGAGCAGCTCTTGGATGTCAAAACAAAACCTGTTCTAATGGCAAAATCACAGGGTCTAAGTAGCTGCTTTATCGTGAAGCAGGCTGGAGAGCAGTACAGGCTGAAAGCCGACTGTTATTTTTCATTTAAAAAGAGTAAACAAACCATTCAGACTAGCACTATCCTCCCACCCTTTAGGATGAGATTTGCATTTAAAATGTAATTTTGCAGAAAAACATTATTTCTAGTTGTAGGGTAAATAAGGTTGGAATAGGTCCAGTTAGAAAGGCAAGTCTTTCACCTAGGTTTGAGAGAGCATATTTAGGAGAATCTGATTTTAGGATTATTAAAAATGTGGAATATCTTTGTAAATTCTCAAGGCTTTGAGTTTTCAGAGAACTCAGATTTTTAGGAGGAGTTCATTTTGGACTTCTGTCAAATCACAAGGGCCATGTGTTCTTCTGTAATACTAAATGCAACAGAGCTCTCTTTTCTTGAGGATATGAAGTATTGCTATTTGGGCTCAGGGCAGATCTCTTTGGCTTAATGTTACAGCAGGTAACTGCTGGATAGAAGTGAGGATTATGTAGGAATTTGGAAGCCAGGTGAAATAGCTTTAAAAAGGAAGAAAGAAAAAACAAACCCTCACCAAATTAGGCTCAGCACTCAGAGAAAGCAAAGTGTTTTGGAGGGAAGAATAAAAAAAACCCCACCAATTTGGTGAGAAATTCTTATCATATCACTTTTAATAGGAAAATTTCAAGATTCTTTTAGGTTGGATTCTTTTTCTTTTTCCTCCCCTTGTAAACAGGGCCTATTTTGCTGTTTGTCTTCGGACCTTTTTGCTCTTAACTACAGGAATAGTGTCTGATATCATTTTCCTTACCCAGATGAATGTCCATTCCTTACTGTATATGTATAGATGCTGATCTCAACTACCCTAAATTACACTTTAGGTAGTCTTAGTATTTTTTACCTCTGCTTTTGAATGTAGTGCTCTAGAAGATGCATTTCTCCAAAATGGTCTCTGTTCTTTTAGATTCCAAATAATAGCATTAGAAATTTTCAGTTTGTCTCTCTCTTGCTTGGTAGAGCTGAAAAATCCAAGGAGCTCTGAATTTTTGTCTAAAAAATGGCGGACTCCATCGTATCCATCAACTTGTGGATCACACTTAGGTTTGTTAGCAAAAACACAGGCAGACTTCTACAGTGACAGCTCTTCAGCAGTTGCTGGTTTGTTTATTTGTATTCTCACAGTGTTTGAAGGGCTGTGCATTGCTGCTGAGTAAGGCTTCCCATCTGCCACTGGCAAGCAGAGGGGTTTTTCAGTACTAGAATGGGCAGTGCTGAATGCAGTTCTGAATTATTTTTTAATCTTGTGATGTTTTTCTTGTGCTTAAATTTGGTTTGATTGCTTGGATGCTTTCATTAGAAAATAGTTAAGCTTCTAACTTAGTTTTTCTTGTCCACATGTTGGTGTAATATGTAGCTTCTGTAGAGTGTCCCTCATCAATGTGTCTCAAAGAGCTTCAGAAGGGGCTCTGCCTTTCTGCTGCATCTGGATAATTTAAGCACAGAGAAAGCTGTTTGCCTGATGATTCTGGTTGCTGTGTGATTATTTTTTCAGGATCCAGCTCCCTGTAACAGCTCA